TGGACTCTGTAGCCCCATGACTTCTATTGTCCCTGCAGGTGCAGGTCCTGTAACTAAACCCTTTGTTTTTGTTCGAGGCGCTCTGTATCAGGAGGAGGAGGTAGTAATGCTGCTGTACAGATCCATCAGCTGAGCACTTGTAAAGCCAGTTATAAAGACACAAGCACTGCAGGCTCAACAGGCCGACATCACCATGGCAACCCCATCCTCCACATCTGCCTTTCCTGCTGTTTCTTCCTTCTTGTCTAACTGAAAATCCATACACAAGAGCAACAATTCCTCCTGGAAAAGCAGGCCCTGTGTCTGACTATGCGGCATTGACCCGATACTCAGACGTTTGCTGTGATTTTTTGATTTATTCGTCAATGACATCTCTGTTGGAGTATCAATCTTAATAAAAAAACAGCAGAATAAAGATGAAAGTGTTATGTTGCAAATGAAATGCTACTAGCATTAGTTAGGTGATCTGAAAAAATCATTTCCTGCCGGTTCTTTATGGGTCATTATGTGAAAATTATAAAATAACTGGTTTAAAAAGCTTCCAGCCACTCATGAGAAGCATTTACATTTTCTAAAATGGGTTGTAGTGTTGGTCTGACTGGATATTTGCTGCCACCCAGTGGATAGATTTTGAAATAACAGAATGCATCAACAGTTTAATAACTTTTCTATTGGGAACTACTGAAATGTTGCCAATCTTAAGCTATTATATCAGCAAAAAAGTCAAATTTATATGAGCAAAAGCCACATCAGCAAACCTTCTCCATGTCTCCACATCGCTCTGATATGCTGGATGCATCATCTTCTGGACCAAATCGTTGTAGTCTCCTTAGACATGGAGTTGATAGCAGTTTTACTGCTTCTCAGAGGATTTAGGATCTGAGGAGCTTCCTGATCACAGGTCCAGAATTTCCTGTTTTATTTATTTATTAACATTTGAATCATTTATTTATCAACCTAACCTATTAACCAAGCTCCATATCTGCAGTAAACCACCACACAGTTCTTGGATTTTTGGAAGAAGTTGCAGAATCTTTCAATCCTACATTTAATTCAGGGCAATATTCTTGGTGCAGCCCACTCCCTTGGATCAGAAGCAAATTTGCATATAAAGTATGTCAGGATGTTTTTATAGCTTCTGTCATGAAACGGTAAGCCTGCAGAATCAGGGCCCTCTCTGAGCTGCTCCATCCATCAACCTGTCCATCTGTCCCTCCTTCCCACCCTGGTGTCTAACCTCATTGAGGTGGGTTACAACCTGGTTAGGTTACCAGACACCTTTAGGGGAATTTAGAAAGACCAATTAACCAAAGAGATGTTTTTAGACCATGGAGGCAGGCCAGAGTAGCCAGAGAGAGGCTAGATGCATTGGGAGGAAATGCTAACTGAATCCCCACCTTAGAGCTCATCAAAGGACCCTCTCTCTAGACGGCAACTTTAGTATCATGGTAGTCCGTTATAATTGTTATACATCATGTTCAAGACACATTGAAAATAAATCACATGGTTATTTAGGATGAAATGACTAAAAAGTGTCCAAAATATTTATCAAAGGTAGCTCCAAAGTCCTTTTCATCTTACAGTGATTCTGCTCATTTTCTGATTGATCTCACCAGTGAACTCCAGCAAACTCCATGCAGAAAGATCCAGGACTGGGGATTTGGGTCTATTTTATATGACATGGTTATAATAATATGTTGATGATCATCCTCTCACCAAAAAGGCTTAAAGAGTAGCTCTTTATTTTTTTTTAGATTCAATTTACTTTGCTTTGTGTTTGTTTTAATGACATGATTCGGAAAACTCTCCTTTAAGTGGTGAGTACATGCAATCTGTTTATTTTAACCTCAAATCGGAGTAAAACAGTAAATCTTAAAGAAATATACCTTTATGTAAAGTGAAGGTGTTAGTATCACCTCCAGTGCAAATAAAGAAAAAACTCATCTAGTGCAACTTTTTCTTTACCAAATACAATTTTCATGTCAGAGTAATAATGACATATTTTGAGGTTATTTTTTTAGTCTTTTGATTTATTTTTCAATGTAAGTTCATATCTTTTATTAGTTGTTTTCAAGTCTATTGTAGTTTATTTTTTTCATTGATTTGAGTTGAGTTTGTCTTTACTTTGAATTGTCACTATTTCTGTGTTGTTGTATTCATTTCCTTACTCTGTATCTTCCAGTGGTATCCCTGATTTAACACTCCTCCCCCATTCAGAGCCTTCTGTGTCCATGTTTTCTCAGAGTTCATCAACAGGATTGATTTGAGTCTTAAGTTCATCTGCCTCTACAGTAGATCAATCCAATTCTGAAAGACTTAAAATTTTGCTTGCGTCAAATATAATTCATAGCGAGGTTTAATTGTTATTCATTTCAAGTCCAGGTTTGAGAGAAGATTTTCCACTGAGACAGGTGAAGGAAATAGGAACTCAGACTGTGAGAAAACACTTTAATCAACTTCAATTTCATTATAACTATTGACTGAAACCTAATACTTCTGATAAAAGCTGTTCAGTTGCCGCCAGCCTTTGACTTTGTCCGGTGAAGTAAGAGGTTATGAGCCAAAAAATTGCTAACAATGCTAGCACACATTGGCCATCTGCATGGCTTGTTCCTGTAGCAATAAGGAAACCAAAATTCTGCAGTGTTATAGTAACACTTTAAGAGTTTTAATTTAACACCAATCCAAGTGGATTTGGTCCTACTCTGAAATAGTATTGATCTAACAATCTACATAGTGTATATCTTACTCCAGTTGTTGTTGTAATAACTCTAAAAGAGTCCCTGTAGTTTAACACTGCATATTTAACACTGTGGAATTTACTATGATCAAAACTAAATTAAATGCTTAGCAGCATTTTAGATTCAAAGCAGATAAATGAGCTGCTACTGCTCATAGAGTATCCATCCATTGTCTGACACGTGTCAGTCAGCTCATAGAGTATCTTAAGCTTAATGAAACAAATACATGTTAGAATCGTCTTGTGCCTCTTGAGTGATTTGTATTAAAAGGATTTGTTGTAGAAGCTGTGATTTCATGAAATTTTCACTTTCCTCTTCCTAAAAGCATCAAATCACCACTGTGCAAAACCCATTTAAACAATAACAGCCAAATCTTTCCATTGAGTATTTCTATCTCCCTCTGACAGAACCCTTGTTTTATTTAAGAAAATCACAGCATTTTATTCTTTAAAAGTGAAAACCTGGACAGGATCCTCTAACAATTACAGTACCTTTAAAATTGAATTAGTTTCTCTTGAACTTTTAATTTAATGAATAAATGAATACTAGTAGATTTTTTGTAACCTCCCCCAAAATCTCAAATGATTTCCTTCTGATGAACCCAATATACTTTATGGTTTAATCTCATTGGCTCTTTGTTTGCTGAATTTCCTTAGAAACTCCTTAATCAGTCTGTTAGACTCTGTTAAGTGTCTCAACATGGCATGTATTATGAACCAGAGATAAATAAATTAGCTGATTTGATTTATGTATTACCAAAGTAATTAGGAATACTTTTTTTTTTTGCTTTGTTTATCTCTTGCCCTTATAATAAACAAAAAAAGAGGGAAAAAACAATCAGACTTGTTGCTTCTATAAAAATTAGACCCCTTTTTATTGTGTTCCATATATAAAAGAAATACAAAAAAGAAACATTGACAGCGAACATCTGGGAGGGGGGGGGGGGGGGGGGGGGGAGGTGTAGGATCCAGGTGTGAATGGGTCCCAGTTGGGGTGAGATAGAAGGGGAACGGATAGCCGGGAAATTGGTTTGGGGACAGTCCCGGGAAATCTGTCCAACAGAACGCGAACAGAAGACGGAGGATGGAAATGCAGTGCAATGGCAACTTCCAGTCCTTCCATTAATCCACCATTTCTCAGTATCCCCATTAGAGTTTCAGTTAAACATCCGTTCATAAAAAGCAGAACTGCTTGTGATGAAGAAACATCCTCATTGGTTGGATTAAACCTAAGTGGGTGGAGCTTTAAGGGAACATTTGGGTCAAAACTTTAAAAAGTGGGTGATACTAAAAAGTGAACGTTCAATTTTATGACATTCATGATGTTGAAAACCCTTCAAAATAAAAGGAGCTTCATCAGGTTGTTCAAACTGCCCTTTGTTTAAGATTACAGATAAATTCATGAACCAGTTTACATTCATTTGAAGGAACTGAAAACACTGGACAAAGCCATGGGGAAATGACCTCCACACCAATGATTCTACAGCTTCAACAGGCATTTCAATCTGACCTTAACCACTTCGTAAAGGCATTTATTTTTTTAACAAAATGGAACAATTCAATCCCCTTAGCTTCTGGACTGGTTCCTTACAAAACACTGATCATTTTCTCTTAAGGCTGTCCTACAGTAGGTTGTCAGTTGGTTTTAGACCACAGACCTTTTGAAGACCCATTCAGGGCCAAGCTGCAGCTGTTAGAAAGACCTCAGGAGATGAGGAGCTGTGCACTATGGTCAAACACTCTACTTTTCTATACACAGGACATTGCAGATGTTTTAGAGGCATATTGTACACCTTACTTAACTTATTGCTCCAAAAATCCTTTTAGAGAGCTGGGTTTTCCAACCAAGGCTTCCAAACGTGCCATAGATCAGTTTGTTTTTAATGCTTGCCTTTGTAGAATGATGGAGACTTAAGGCAGTTTGGAAACAGCCTAATTAGCCCTCCTAGATTGACATGTCTTCATGATAACTTTCTTAGGTCATAGCCCATGTCTTTATAACCTGATAAGGGATTAAACCCCAGCTGTAAACTTCAAAACAGCAAACTACCAAGATAGACATACAGTACTCACATTGGTGATCATTGTGCATATCCTGTTTTTTCTTTCCTCCTACACTTACCGGTACTTTCTCCCATGGAAGTATTGACATGTTTCCCCCATGACTCTGAAAAGCCCTAAATGACATAAAATGATTCACATAGGAAAAGTAGCAATTCAAAAACAATGTGATAATGCAGATTTTTTTTTTACCATTTCCAAATTCAGGGAAATCAGACAGTATCAAGAACTAAAGATTATTGAGCAAAAACATATTTGCAATGCTTCACCCACTGAGGTTTAACTCAACCAGAGACAAGGTTTCTGAGCAGTTCTGACTCTAAGGAATCAATGTGGACCCAAAACTCGGCTGTGTGCTTCAGGACAAATCAGTCTTTTCAGGTGCTTCAGCGTGATGGCCCCCGCCCACCTCGGCCCCACCAGCCGCCAACAACGTCCTTCGGTTGTAGTGGTGGTGGCCCTTCATGATGCCAGAGTTGTTGTTCTCGTTGAGAATCTGCTTCTGCTTCTGCCGGTTGAGCGACTGCACCAGGCCCAGCACCACCGCCGCCAGCGAGTACTGGCCGGTGATTTTACGAGGCTGCAGGATGAGCGGGTTGGGCTGTACCCGGCCCAGCAAGAAGTGTGTCCGGATTTTGCCCTCCTGCTCACTGATGCCCTTGACGTAGATCTCGCCACGGTACTCGAAGGCAAAGCCTCGCTCCTTAAGGATCAGGTAGGTGTCCTCAGGCACCTGGATCTTCCCGCTCACGCCGGTGCTGTCCATTCGGCTGGCCAGGTTCACCGTCTTTCCCCAGATGTCATACTGCGGTTTCTTTGCACCGATGACTCCTGCCACCACAGAGCCGTGAGCCATTCCTGAGACAGATAAGACAGATTTAGTTTTAACCAGACTGAGATCTAAAATACCGTAAGGTCAGACATCATGGAAATCCATTTGTGATATTGTAACACCTTCTAGGTCTTACATTTTCTCAGAGTTTACTTTGCACCCAAGACAAAGAGTGCTAATATGAAAACATTGCTAGACAGATTCCTTTAATCTGAAGTAAACCAATGCTGCCAATGTCTATACACTGGAAAACGATATAGAAATAAGTACAAATTTCTTAAATTAAGTTGTGGTCAGAAAATTTAGATTTCTCTTGTCTCATATATTTAGTTATACTATTTATCCAGTGAAAAATGTTTTTATTCAGTTTGTTTTACCTGCAAGGCTAAAAAAATATCTGAGTAAGGGTCGGTTTTACACAAAACATACTAATTCCCACGACAAGCCAAATTGTTTCTCAAGGTTTGTTAAAGCGAGTATGATTTGTTTTGACTCTGACACAACCTTCACAGTTTTTTCATCAACATAACTAAGGGACAAACTCTGTCCAGTCAGAACAGAGCTGATTACTGTACCGTAAGGGCTGCAGATGAACTGTTCTGTCTTTGCAAAGAAAGAAAATAAAGTGCTGACTGAGTGAAATTCATCGATCTGTTTATTTAACTAGGGTGAATAGTTGAATACTTTTTTCCCACTACAAAGTGTGTTGACCCCTAATCTGAGTAGGTAAATGAGAGTTTGCCAATGGGATGAGCATTTCCACTCTTGAAATAAGATAATTAGATAATATGCACTTGAGATTAGACAATGCACTTGTTTTTTTTCTTATTTTAAATGTCAATTGTCACGTTCCATTAGCAAACTTTTTACAGTGTAATATAGCTGCATTCGGTTATATTAATCTGTTTTTGAGATAATGCAAGCAAGTTCATGATGCAGATTGGAAAAACATGAACAGGATCCAGAAAGGAGACATTTCTCATAACATGTGTTAAATAAATGCCTTGATTTAGGTTTTATTTAATTACTGTTGGATTATAGATTTTTTTTATAATAAAGTATTTTTTGTACTTTTAAATTTAAGGTATCAAGTTATTCTACAAAACATAAAAAAAGAGTATCATCTGTATTATTAAGAAAAACACTGAAAAAGTAATCCTAGTAAAGAGATTTCTCATCAAAGCAATAATTACTTCCTAGTAAACACCATCAACCAATATGTAAAACAATAGTTTAAACTGAACAGAAACAAAGCTCTCACCGATCCGTAGCTCAAAGTTGTTGAATGAATGCTTGTTGATCTCCTGGATGCTCTCGTTTAGGGCGATAGCGAAGTCCGCCAACGCACATAGGTGACCCCATTTATCTTCACATTGCTGTGAGAGTCAGAGAGGAGTTAGCTGAAGCACTTTGTTGACTTTTTAAGATTAATAGACCAGTCAGATGAACTATGTTGTCTTATTGTTGGTTTGAAATGCAGTGATCACTGAAATCTTTACTAATGTTTTCATCTACAACCTACACATCAAGTTGCTGTCAACTCATCATCTGGTTCATACTTGTTTGACTCAAATAAGGATCCAGTAAATACATTAATTAAAGTCTAAAAGAATAAAAGCAAATGGGAAGAATCCTTGCTTGGTTTGAACGTATTTAGCAGAAATCATCAGCAGGTCAGACTTTTCTTATACCCTGGTGGTAAGTATGGAGTACCACAGGGTTCATTAATTGAACCTATTCTTTTTTAAATATATTTGCACGCTTTAATTTTGTTCAGATGAATGAAAAATGTTATTAAATGTAGTTATTATGCTGATGGTATGCATTTCATTGTTTAATACGCCCTGACAAATGTTTTCAGTCATACTGAAGGTAAAAAGTTAAAAGTTGGTAAAAGGTGAAAGTTGGACCAAACTTCTGTTTTTTGTGGATGTGGTTTAAGCTTTGTAGATATATTTTTTCCTCTATTAAATTAACCAGAAGATTTGTACAAATAATTATTTACAAAAAACAAACAAACATTTAAATGTTTAAAAAGATGTGGATATTAATATATGCACACCGAGCTGGTAAATGGCCTGTTCTTACAGCATCTTAGAATGTCCAATGACTTCCAATATAATACATTAAATCAATCACCAATTCACACACACATTCACATGCTAAAACTAGCTTCATACCTTTGTCTCAGGTATCATAGTAAAAAAACGGTGGTATTTCAGACAAAAAATTATTTAACCTTAACTTATAAAAAACACCCAGAACTTCTACTTCTTCAAAAAAAAGGGCAGCTTGTAGAAAGTATGCAGTAAACCGCCAAAAATGACACGTTCTTTACTGGATTTACTTTATAAGGTCTTTCAATGATTTTACAAACTACTCCTGTTCTAATTAAGTACCTGCTCAGGATATAATATCATACAATATATTCCCCTTAGGATTAATAAAGTATTTTTGAATTGAATTGAATTTAATTATTATAGAGATAAAGATATGACTTCATGATATGTGATCAGAACCGATCAAAGTGCAATTTTCAAAAGTACCTTGTGAGTTCTGGGGAAGTATTTTGTATGCAGGGAAGAGCATGGTAGCTCCAGTAAAATGGCTCCAAGTTTCAACAAGGTAAACATTACTCCAGAAAGTTTAATTTCTCCCTCAAACCCAATGATTATTTGTAGGTCTTCCAAAGTAACATTTTAAGGAGTCTAATGTCCTATTATTAACCTCTGAAAAGTGACATAGTTTAAGGAAAACGTATTATCTTTGATCCCGAAATAGTTAGAGGGCTCTGTGAATAATCAGAGCACTATAACAGTCCAGGCAACAGGGAGCCAATCAGACAGTTTGCAAAGCTTTTGCCTTTCCTGAAAACCCTCACCTGTTTTTCTGGTGACAGACCAGAGACGGCCATGTAAGTGCTACCGATGGTCTTGATCTTCTCGATGTCCTGAAAGCGTTCCTCGCCCAGCAGCTGTAACAGGAGGCAACATTTATTTATGTGAAACTAGAGCTAAACTATAGTCTGTTCAACTAATTTCTGCTTATTTTCGACTATTTAGGACAAAAAACAAAACAAGCAAACAAAAATGATAAGTTGTTTTTTTCTCAAAATTAACATAATGAAGAAGAATCCCAACTGAGAATGATGACTGATATTTCAGCTGGGATGTAACGTCTGTGAAAACCAAAACAAATTCAAGCACACTAAACTCCTCTTAATCTATTCTAACAACAACCAGTGAATTTTTCTCGAGTAGAGCTTACGTCTATCAGAGGTCTGAAGGAGCTGCAGTTTGTTTCTGCTCTCATTCGAGGGGATTCACTCATTAAATGATGACTTAAATCACTCTGAACTCAAAATGTTTTAAAAGGTAAGGAAAAAATGGGAGATATCTACAACCACACACAAAAAAAAAAAATAATAATACCTGCTACACCTTCTTCATGCTGCAAGTTATTTAGGCAATGTCTACCAAATTTATAGATCCATTGACTAAAATGTGGTCATTTTTTTCAGGCTCAGTCAGATTAGCTTCAGGGTGTTTGTGAACAGCAGTTTTCAAAGCTTTCCCCAGATTCTCAATTGGAGTTGGTTCTCAGGTCTTTTGCAGGGTTTCTTCTATCATTGCTCTGAGTTTGGCTCCATCTAGCTTTCCACCAACTCTAACCCTTTTGCCTGTCCCTGCTGAAAAGAAGAGAGAGGCTAGTTCTGGCCAACTGCCCAACTGCCACTGAAACAGAGCACTGCATTTTGGCTATAATGGTCATCCATAATGGTCATAATGGCATCATCCTTGCTGTGTTCCAAACATGGCTTCAGACAATCTGCAAACATGACATCTAATGTTTTTTTTTTTCTTTTTTAGCCATTACTTTCTCCTTGCCACTCTTTCATATAGACCACACCTCTGCAGTGCATGAATAGTAGTTGTCATGCGGACAGATTCCCTCACTTGTGCATTTCCTTGAGTCACCATTGTCCTCTGGACTGCATCGTTGATCAGTTCTCTCTTTGTTTGGCCTGTAAATTAATGTGGAAAGCCATGTCTTGAGAGGTTTACGTTTGTCCCGTACTCTCTCCGTGTTCAGGTGATGGACCGAACTGTGCAATATAAAATGGTAAATCTTCATGGCCTAAGTTTGCTTTACACTTCTCCACAACATTATCCCTGTTCTGTCAGGTGAGTTCTTTGAACTTCACAGAGCTGTTTGCTCCCCGGTTTTGTCTTAATCAACCTCTGAGGCCGTCACAGAGCAGCTGCATTTGTACTGGGATCAGACTACACACAGGTGGACTATACAGTAATTAGTGATCATCTGGAAACTTCTAAAGTCATTGTTGCACTCAGAGAAAAAGAGTTTGAATATTTTTGGGGTTTGAATACTTTTGCGAGCTTTTTTTGAGAATGTTTTCTTTGCACTTCATATTATTTACCACTTTGTTGATTCCATTGCAATATATTTATATTTGTGGTTGCAATGGTACAAAATATGGAAAAGTTCGAGGGACAAAAACTAATGCCAGCCACTGTAACTGGTAAAAAGTCTGAGTTTATTCCTTTCCTTTGCTGGGGACACAGCACTGACCTCTCTATCTATTTCCTGCTTCAGTCTGTCACCATTTATCAACAAGACCCAAAAATATTTGATCTTCTCCACTGGGGCTGCGATTTAACCACAACCTGAGAGGGGAAATCTGCTTTTTCAATCTTTTACACACCATGACAAGAATATTTCCACTCCCAGATTTTTCTGTGGTGTTTCCTTCTTGGAATCTCATCTGTTACATAGATGAGAAGGGCAAAAAACAAGGATAGCTTTTATTCTGAAGTAGCAAAGCGATTTATTTTACAGTGAAGCCAGGTGGATCCATTCTTTGAGCTGAAACAAATGCCCTCCTGCTGAGGAACTGAACCCCAGGAAAGTTTTACCATACTCATCATTCAATTTGTGCACATTGAGAGATGAATGCACATTTTATTCAAACTCTTTACGTGAACAGCTGTGAATGGATCAGAACTAGTCAGGTCAGATCTAAAAACTTCTAATAAGGGTTTCCTTCTTTCCTTCCTCTAAGATTTTTGTGACGAATCTAGAAAGCATTTGTTTTTGTAATTTCTGAAGCTTACCTCATCAAAATCAGCGATGATTTCGTTGAGGAGCCTCAGACACTCAACTCCCTGGTTGTTCATCTCAGTCTGGGAGTAGAAATCGGCAAAGCCTGGGATGGAGGCGAACATCACACCCACAGAATCATAGGACTGGGAGTACAGCTCCTGAGGAGAAACCGAGACAAGAAGAGCATCTTCAGACATCAGATGTTCAAGATGTTGATCAATGTAGCTGATGTTCTCAGAAAACATTGTTTTTATTTACTCAAAATGATCTCAAACGGATCACTGGTTATTGATGGTGAAATGTTACATACCAAGAGAAGGAGTCTAGAAGTATGAGTATCTATAAAAGTGGAAAAAAATAGGATGGACCTGTTTTTTCGGTTTAATTTGCATGTTTTGCCACAACAAGGCCACTCTATAAGCCTGAAACTTAAACACTACTCCTGACATTTTGAATTGAGAAAGCTTCTTGGATGGGACTTTGTTTCTCGGAAACAAAGTCCAGTGGATTGTTTTTAAACTTTTTTGCAATGACTATGACCTGGATTGACTGATAATCTTCACTAGCATATTAAGTGCCTGGTTTTCTTTCTTGTTCTTTCTTGGTACACCACTTTTTTCCCATGTCATTCATTCAGAAACTTGACTTGTGCAACTCAACTCAACTCAAACTTTATTTATATAGCACATTTAAAACAATGGGGTTGACCAAAGTGCTGTACAGAAATCACAGTTGCAGAGCATAAGATCAAAACTGAAAGCTAAAATACATAAACACAATGCAAGAAGAAAAATTGAATGGATATAAAATATAATAGGATAATGTTTCAATTTAAACAAACTGTGCAGCCATATCCACAATTGTGCAGCCATGTCATTTAAAATTGTGCAGCCATATCCAACCTTCTACCACCCAAAATAAGACATTCCTTTTCTCCTTGTTTGAATTGTCCTGTTCTAAAATTTAACATTTAAACAATTAAGATGTACTCAAGGGAATTTCTCTTATTTCTTTTCCACATGTAAATAATCTCTTTGCTCAAACTTTGCTTAGACTTAAGAACTTTAAATAGCTTTGTAACCCCTCCAGGTTTATAAGAAATCTACACAAATTTATAGACAGAGATGATCCTTTATATCTTCATCTTTGTTCAATGAATAATGATAATGAGGAATCTGTTGCATTTGTTGTAAACTAAGAATTAGTTGTAAATCCTTCAGATTATTTAAGATTAATAACCTGACATGAATAAAGGCAGTGTTTACTTTTGGTGCGATAAGCAAAGAATCCTTCTCAAAATCACTGCAACATTGAAGATGAGCTGCATTAATGAAAGAGGAATGCAATGCACCGTTTCCACCGTTAGGGGGCAATGTTTACCAGTCCAAAATCTGTACAGCAAGTCTGCAGACATGAAGCAGCATATCCTCACATCCCATACACGTCACATTCAGTACTTCATCGTTTCATTATGGTGGTATTGTAATAATAGGGTGATGAACATAACATCCAGCCACAGTTTAACATCTCAAGTTAATAATTCAAGAGACGCTCTGTCTGTCCGTTTGCTGCTCTGGCTCTTAATGTAATTACACACTTGTGGAAATAGGCCCCTGACCAGAATGGAGCATCATCAGTGACAATATAGACGCCTAATGAGCTGAGTCAAGAGTCCAAACTTCAAAGGGAACCTGGTTTAAGTCAGACTAAATGAATTTCTTGGTTTCATGCCATGTTGCTGTGTAAAGACATCAGACAGACTTTTTACGGTTCCTTTTGAGTTCTCTCCTAAAAACAAAGCCATCCTGATAGATTTATGCTCTCTGGGTTTCGGGTGTTTTGTAGAAACCTTACCTGGAGCTAAATTTGTAAAAACAAAGATCAAACTTTTGCAATGTCCCTTATATGCTCTGCATCATAATGAATCATTTGTTTGGTCTTTAGAGTGTAATGTTTTAATTTGTTTTACCTGCTTATCACATGTCAAAATATACGGAGTAATACAGAAAACAACCCCTTTACATCACAAGCAAGATCTATAATTTCATTGTAAAGCAGTGTGTCATTAAAAATGAGTGATGGGTTGATTTTGTGTTTTGTCTAAACTCTTCACAATAAATAACGACCAAATCATATGGAGTCGGTAATCTGCTACAAAAATAGCCATTAAGGCCAAAGCCCCGGCTCACTTATTAAATGTAACCCAGTACTTTTGAGCTGTCCCATTATGGAGGGGGGCAGTTACTGCATATTATGGTCCAGCATAAGATATCATTATTAACTTTTTAAAAGGAAGCAAATGTAATTCTTCAAACTGCATAATCAAATTTTACTCTTGGAGAAAGAAGCAGATGCTGGATCCAGAACTGTGATAATGATGCACTACAGATGGAGGAATCTGTTAAAAAAGTATTAAACTTGAAGCTAAGGAGGTAAAGATGACTTATCTAGAACTGAAGAAATGACCTGGGATGTTTTTAGTCAAAAATATTCAAACGATCAAATCAGGTGTTGATGTTTTGGTCATGTCAGGTTACCTGACCTCAGCATCAGGTAAGCATGCGATGAAATAAAATTGGAGTTGTATTTACTATTTACTTAGAAAAATCTAAGTAACATTTTTCCACTTAGAAATTCTTTATAAATTTCACTCAATACATTTTACTAACTAAGAAGAGTTAATTTAACAAACTCAAGTATATTTTACCACCACATTTTTCCTATTAATAAAAGATGTATATGTGTTTTGCTAGTAAATCTTATACAGAGAGGCACAACCATGACCACACAAGAAGAACCTAGAGAAGCCAATTAACCTAACAGTAAATTTTTTTGGACTGTGGGAGAAACACAGAGTACCATCAGAGAACCCACGCATGCACAGGGAGACATGCAAACTCCAGGCAGAAAAACACTGGACCAGAGAGCAAACCCCAAAAGACTGTTGGGAGACAGCAGTACTATCCACTGCACCAAACTGCAGCCAACAAATAATACTTTAAAGTTCTGGCCTATACATTGTCAGGTAATGAAAAAAAAAAAAAAAAAAAAAGTTTACTCCTAATATCCAAGTATATTTTACCTGCATTGGTTAAGTTGAGAGTTTATTAAAATCATATCTTAATACCATTTAGTAGAATTAATTAAATTAGCTACGTTTATGGAAGATTTAATAACAAATGGGTAACAGAAGCACAAATCCAAAAACATAAATCCATGAAAATCCCAAACTACTGAAAACCAGGAATAATCACAACAATGGAGCAAAGAAATTACAACAAACCAGTAAAGATTGACTGAACAAGAGAAGAAACCACTAGAACACAAAAATGGAGATAAGACCAATAAAAACTCAGAGATGAAAGTTGAACAGAACCAAAACCATGACAGTAACACATTAAATAAACTGTGTCATTTTGAAGTATTGAAGTACTTTGAAGTACCCTTACATGGAAATTTGCAGTAAACTTTAAATAAAAGCTGAGGTTATATTTCCATGACCAAAAAGTCCCTTTTTTTTAGTGTGCCTTTGCGGTCAGGGGACCTGCTGGTTTTAGACATTACCATGACTCGACTCAAGATCTGAAGAGACAGAGCTTTCTAGGTTGTTGCCTTCAAAATATGGCATGATTCATAGTACAAAGCATGACTGCTTTTTTTTTTTTTAGCTCATTCTAAGACTCATCTTTTTAATTTGGACTTTTAATTCCAACAAAACAGAAGCTTCAGATGGAGAATGTATGTGTTTGGAAGTTTTAAACCTGTCAGATCAATAAAGGTCAAAATTAAAATTCATTCCTTGTATGCACCATTGATATTCTCTACGCTTCTCTGCTTTTGTTTCTAATTCTTTAGCTAAACCAAAAAAACAAAACAAAAAAAAACACTTATTCAATTATGATCAAATGATTTGGCAAACATAAAATCTTAGCTCCAACAAGGCAAATCTTACAGACCTAAAATTAGTATACAGTACAGAAGACGATCAGGTAAAGGATCATGTATCTTTAGAGTGAGTCCAGTATCAGGTTTCTTAAGAATGTGAGTTTCAGACATTTACCTGCCAGAAACATAATCCTTAATAAGCCTGATGCCTTTTCTTTTGTCTTTCAGTAGTCTAGTGTCTTCATTATGCGAGACGGAACTGAGCAAATTGAAATGGTGTCATTATCACGTACTAGGCTGAAAAGGAGTGAAAATCAACTTAATAGAGAGCAACCTTGAAAGACTTTAAGGACACCTTAAGAATGACTGATCAAGATCACTTTAAAAGATCAGGAAGTCTGTCTCCTTGCAAGCAAAGACTGAATAAGTATTTAAAACTCTAACGCAGGAAGTTGAGTAGACTTTCAATCTGACATTTTAAAACAGCAGAACTCTGATCTAAGATTCACATGTTACCCTGGTGCTGAAGCTTATAGCACAATGAAATGACTGAACTAAAATTAGTCATCAGTGTTTAGTCAAAATGTGCTCCTCAAGTGTCCTTCATGTCCTTAATCAAGCATCACAGAAGCTTAAATTGGAGACATCATCAAAATGTCTCCATGGGTCTATGTATAGTCTGGTGCAGTGGAACCTAAATCACAGAACAATAATCAGCCTGATCAGGACTGATTAGGACCCAGAGTGTTTTCTGATGGATGCATTTTTAATCATGTTCTTTAGAACGAAGAACGGGGCATAGGATCAGCTCTCCTCCACCAACATCCATAATTCAGCTACAGCTAGACCTTTGTTTGGGAGGGAGGCGGGAGAAATGGGAGAGAAGGCCACCTGAGGACAACCATCATCCCGGCCAAAAATCACTCAGTACAGAGTTTATCATCAAAAATAATGAAGCATTTGGATTTGGAGATTAACAGGGGATTATTCTCTCATTTGAAGGTGAGGAAAAGCTTCAACAATTTGCTGATGGAAATTTGCCCCAAAATATTCATCTCAGCTGCCGGCAGCTTATCAAAGGGAAAGTATTTAAATTAGACCCCCTTAGTTTGATTAGTCTCAAAAGTCCTATTAATAAATATATATTTTTTAACCCTTCTTCTAGAGTGAAAACATATAGCTGTAGATTTTTTCGTCATTAGATACACAAAGCACTTTCCACAAATACATTCAGCCCTGGTAAAGGTTGAGAAAGTCTTCTTCTTTTTTCTGT